CTCGTGGTATTCGCTTATAGCACAAACTTTTTACCACGAGTCAGACTCGTGGTATTCGCTTATAGCACAAACTTTTTACCACGAGTCTGACTCGTGGTAATAGGTCAAGGGGTTAAGCGATAGAATATTAACTATGTTCAATAATTATTGAACATTCCTAATTTGATTGAATTATTTCGATTATTACAAAAATTAATTTTATGTTTTGTGTTATAGATGAAAATTTTGCCGTTGTATATTTTAAAAATGAAAATACATATTCGGAAGTGCCAAGCAGTTGGCTGATGCCACCTATAGACGGTGATGAGGACGAATGGCATTGTTGGTGGCCTCCAAAGACGCAAAAAAAAAATTAATATCTATATTAAATAAAAATTTGAAACCGATAGCTCAAGCTGGACAATAGAACATGTCAAAATTATGGGCTACTATGGTATGCTGTAGAATCGATAAATGGTTTAAATTGATATTTTCCTCGTTATAAATTGATTTCTTTATAGACGCTTATGAAAAAGCTCGGAGARTCGCAGCTGAATCCGATTATACTTCTTCCGAAGAAGGTCTTGGTCGTGGTTGTCGATCTTCTAAATCTACTACTGCGGAGCGACAATACAATAAGAAGAAGAGATTAGCACTAATTATTGACCCCACAACTGATGAGGACACAGAAGACGAGCCTCCAAAAAAACAAAAAAGGGGATTTATTAAGCGTAAGTTCACCTTATCAAAATATTCTCTTACAAGATACTTAGTACTTAGTTATATCTCAGTTTTTCTATAAACTGCTTATAGAAGGAAAAAGGACAAAATGTATAACGTCTTTAAAAGTATTGTACATAAATATTTAATTTCTTTTTCATTTTTTTTGAAACACTAATGAAACGCTAGAAAATAAATTACACCAATTGTATAAAAAACAAATTATCATGTTATTTGCAGCAGCTACACCTATGCCGAAAATATGTGACGAAACGAAATCCAGCAACTGTAACACACCCAATTTATGTAAGTAATTATTAAAAAACTTGTCCATGTAATTTTTTTTAACATAATACAGCAATGTCACTAATTTTTCAACATCGACATATTTGTAAATATATGTAATCTTATAAATAATTTTCATAGCTTTTTTACACTATAAATAATACTGTTTTCGTTAAAGTTCACGTATTTACCTTTTCACATTAATCCAATTTTCGTTGTTATTAGCTACAGTTTTGTTGTTAATTTATGAATATTTCTACCTATTTACAGCAAATACAGTGCTCGAACATCATCCAGAAATTGGTAAGTTAAATTTGGTTCGTTCATTTTCATATATATTTTAATATACAGCTATTACTTATTGTATTTTTTAAATTTCAGTCGAACCAGACGAAGTTGATAGCTGTGAAAATAATAATGATAGGAACGAAAACATTCCATTTGAATTAAATACCTTACATTTTAATAAACTCGACAATCTTTTTGACTTTAATAATAAAAATATAACTGATATTTCATCAATATTAATAGGTAAGACTTCAAATTTATTTATTATTCGTTCTTTTGTAACTTAAAATGACTAGAAATTAAATATTTATTTGCAGATAACTTTAAAAATGTATTTAAATTACTGAGTATGGTTCTCGTGGATCTAAAAGATATAAAACAAAGTCTTGATCAAGGTCATTTAGCAAAGATTACCACGAATGTCGAGAACATTAAACAATATTTCCCTATTGAAACAAAACAAGAATTAGAATTTGTTGAGAAAATTTTGTTCACTAAACAATTAGAAAATGAGTTCGTAAGTAGTAACTAGTAAATACTACTACTGATATTGATAATAATAATAATAATAATGATAATAATAATAATAGTAATAATAATAATAATAATATCAATAACAATTGAAATAATTATAAATATAATGATAATTAAAGTTTAATTTAATAATAAACAATATCGTTAAAATTTTTATCTTCACTGTACATCTGTGTAAGCAGTAAATTTTAGCTGAGATATTTTAGTATACTAGATATTATTACTATACGTTTAACACACACACACACACACCAAAGCTGGAATTTCCTTTTTATCTACTACTATGTAATCTAGGTATAGTAATTTCTACATAAAATTTTTTCAGAAAGAATATGTGCGTATTATCGGTGGAAAAAATGGTTGTGATTTCCTGAAAAATGTATTCACATTAATTTACGATGATAAATTTGCTGCAGACAATACATGGCTCGGTAAAAAAAAACAAAGTAAATTTAAGTAAATCACTCATAAATAAATATGTTCGAGGTAAATATAGAACGTTTGTGAATTTTAAAATATAGAACATAAATAATAACAATTATTTTATTTTCAGATGTTATTCAACTATATTTCCTGAATTTACCAATTATAATTTTAATTACGAGGCAGGAGAGGGGTTCAGGCTGGGGGCATAATGCTATAAGCGTATTCTAAGTGTATAATTCATTAGTTTCAATAGTAAACTGTAAGTAGCGAGTGAGCCAACAGCCCTGAGGAACTGCTCAGTACAGCGCGCCATACGGAACCTTCGTACTGTTTAGTTCATATCTTCTAAACGAATCGAAATACCATTAAAATTTTTTTGCATAATATTTCTACACTACAAGCTATTTTTTAAAAGGTAAAAATAAAAAAAATAAAAATATGCGAACTTTAATAAATTCACATTTTTAATTTTAACTTGCGGTTTTCTAGACGAAAAAAAGTTTAATTTCAAATTTTTATTTACTTCCAAGAAAATTAATCTATATTCTCTAATAAACACGATTTATTTCTTATATAATCCATTAGATTGACTCTTTTAAAAGTATTCGAAAAATCTATTCCTCATATTTTGTCAATTCTTTAAAGCCCCATAAATTGGAAACTAAGGTAAAAAAAAAAAAAAGATATAGAATTATTGAGGTCCCATAGAAGTACAATCAAGCTAATTATGAACAAAATCCACGACCTCACATTTTTTTCGTTGTCCGCTTCACGCGAAATGCACCATTAATATTGCTCAACAAGATAATATTATATAAGGTTACAATTTTCGGAGTTACGATTGATTAGTGAATAATTACTTGCATAATACCTAACTACGTATATATGGAGAATATGCAAATTAGTAATTATATAAAATTATTTATAAAGAATGAAATTTTGAAAAAAATAAAGGCCGGATCATTCAATACTAGATGTTGAAATATAAAATCGGATAGAGAAGTAAATAAGAATTAATAAACAAGAAGGTTGAGATAGAAATAAAATGTAGCTAAACGCCTTACATAAAAACAAATTTTTAAGGAATCTTAGTCAAGCATTTTTTATAAAAAAGGCACGATGTGATTAGTGCTCCTAATCTTAGAGCCAATCTTAGGCTCTTTCTGCAGTGTTGCGTAATGATTGAATCATAGATTTGTAAAAATTTCGTTCAAGAATGTCAAAACTATGTAAATGGAATGTTTTTTTTATCATAAGTTAGTTAAAGTTCTTTAAGACTTTACTTGCTTTAACATTAAAAACCATGTTATAGTGAATAAAAATGTAACTAATACGTTACTACGTACATATATATGAAGACTATGCAAATTAATATTTATACGCAGGGAATAAACAAATGGATTAACTACAGCTTTTTATCTAATATCGTCCATTTGTGTTAAAGGTATCCTTGATACCTGGGCAAAGTACAATATTAGACCTGTTTAAATAGGCTCGGCGTTTCTTAATTCTTTCCCAGTTTCTGTTTAAATGATGAGAATAGAAGAATTTTCTTCTAAACCCCAATAACTAACCCCTACCCCCGCAGGGGCTCTGCCCCTGGACCCCAATTATGTACCAAATATTTACCCGCATTCATAATAACAAATAGTATTGGGATCTCTAGTAGGGACCCTGTAGGAGAGACGCGCCAAAGAATTTTGGGGTACAGGAACTTATGTAGTCACGTGATTGCGCGCGAATGATTCAAACATTGAAATAATTATGAAATAATGAATTGCATCAAATACAGAAAAAAAATGAACTATATTTAATGATAATTAAAAAATAATAATAAAATAGAATAGAAGAATTTATACTTCAAAATCTTAATAACCCTATTACAAAATTATATTATCATTTTCTTGAATGGATTTTACCAAAATTATCAACTTTAAACAAACTTTTCCAATCCGAGAAACCATTAATTACAGTCGTTCATAAAAAAATGAGTTCTACATATACAGAATTACTTAAAAATTTTATGGTCCCGGATTACGTTAATAAAACACCGTTAAGGTTTATTAATCCGGCCGATGAATCGAAATATATAAATATTCTGAATGTTTACACGGGTGTATATTCAATTGATTTTTTTAACAAGCCTGAGTACTCGACATCTCCACGAAAAGAAGTACAAATCGAATTTCTTACTAATTGTAGAAATTTTTTTCGTAAAAGGCTGCTTAGCAATAAAGAAAAGGTATGATTTCGAGAACGTTCTATTAAAAAATTTATCTATTATTAATTCTGAAGAAGCTGTTGCTCAATTTACACGAAATATAACACCTTCTTTATTACCAGTAATGCGACAACTACCTCGACTTGTCCCTAAAGAATGTTACCAATCAATCGACGATGAGTGGCGACTGCTACCAAATTTTATTTTACCAGAAAATATTAAAGTCACCGACCCTGTAGTTGCATTTTGGCACAAATTAAAAAAATGTGAAGATACGGACGAAATTTATTCTTTTAAAAATCTAGCTAGTTTTTTTTTTTAAGTATAATGTCACTACCGTTGTCAAACGCAGATTGTGAGCGTATTTTTAGTAAAATTAATTTAATTAAAACAAAAACTCGTAATAAGTTATCTGTAGAAACGCTTAATGGGTTGTTACTGTCTAGTCAAAGAGTAGATTCAAATTGTGTAAATTATGAACCCAGTCAACGGGAATACAATTTATTAACAAATTCTTTATATGTTAGTGAAGAGAAAAGCAATAATGATAAATACATAAAAGAAGAAGAAGTGAATTTCGAAATGACAGACATGGACGATTGATTAAAGCCAAAGTAATTGTTTTGTTAAAGATTATGTGTTAAACTATTGAAATAATTTAATTTATTGTTATTAATTTTGTTGTTTTTTTGAAAGTTTAATTGTAATTATTGTTAATTAGGTAATATTAAAGTATAATGTAAAAAATGTATTAGGTTGAGAAGTATGAAATTCGAATGCAATTATGCGACTTAATTGCATTCGAATTTCATACTTGACAGCCTACTGTAATATTGTATAATAATTATTTAATGTATTTAATGATTGTTAATTAGGTTGTATGAACGTATAATATAAAAAATGTATTAGGTTGAAAAGTATGAAAATCGAATGCAATTAAAGTTATTGTTTTGTTAAAGATTATGTGTTAAACTATTGAAATAATTTAATTCATTGTTATTAATTTTGTTATGTTTTTTTGAAAGTTTAATTGAAGTGATTGTTAATTAGGTAATATTAAAGTATAATCTAAAAAACTATTTAAATAAAAAAAAAGTTTAATTCAATGTTATTACCGAAGAAAATGAAAAGTGGATGATTTCTTATGCTTCTGTTTAATAAATCAGTAATAATAAACATTTAAATAAATTATGTTCTGATGCTTTAATTGTAATACCTGTAAGAATACGTAACGTTATGCTTATATGTTGCAGCATCGTAATGCGTTATATGTGTATTGAGGGAAAAAAATTGCTAGAAAACCTGCCATTCCATTTTATAATGTAACAATGATGTTGGCATAGATTTGAAAGTGCAGTGGAATTGTTTTCGATATGCATTAATATCGATATGTATCGAAACTTCGATATATCTTTTGTTGCATTGCTCCGCCATTGTTGTAACGATAGCGTTCGAAGAAAAAAAAAGGAGTAGAGGAAAAAAAAAGAAAAAAAAAAGGTCATCAACTTTGAAAAAGTTGGAACTTGGACACTTTTTCCACATTTTGAAAATTTCGTCCGAGAAATTGTCCGATTTCAAATTTTCCCGGGGCATACGATAATTTTCTGCCGCGTACAATAATTTTACGCCCCTGTGTCGATCAGACGAACTAAAGTCTCTGGGATCACTGGAAGCCCAACCAGTGATGTCAGATCGTGGGTAAATCTTACCCTCTCCCTGTGCCACTGGGATTGCACACAATGAAAGTTTTCCATGTCCGTGTGTTTGGGATGTCGAGGAAAGCCGAGTGTAACCGAAGTTGGCGGTTGGCCACGAAGTGGCACATTANGACACGAGTCGCTTTCATAGTGTGCCACTCCGGCGTGCCCGCCAACTTCGGTTACACTCGGCTTTCCTCGACATCCCAAACACACGGACATGGAAAACTTTCATTGTGTGCAATCCCAGTGGCACAGGGAGAGGGTAAGATTTACCCACGATCTGACAGCACTGAGCCCAACACGCCTCGAGCAAAAAAATTTACGTGTCAGTGTGTCGGAAAACCGAAGAAGCCGAGGGAAGCCAAAGAAAGCCGAGATAGCTGAGCGACAGAGGAGAAACAATACCCCCACTACGCGCCGCTGAGAAATACATGGACACAAACACATCTGAACAATGTATAAAACAATGTTTGCCCCTCGCTTCGCTCGTGCGCTCAACTTCGCTCTCGTGCGTAATCGACAACTTTCCGCACTAGTTGCATAATATACTAATTTTTGATTCGTTCTAGTTAATGCTTTATCATAAATTAAAAGTACTAACTGGAAAAAAATTATGTGCGCAGATCACACGTGTTAGAATTGAAACCTTCAAAAATTTAAATTTCGAAAGAATGAGACGAATGGACAGTTTTAAGAGTAAGATAATTGTAGGATTTATTTAATATAATATTATTACCCTATATAACAAAGAGCACCAGTATGATTTCTGAGTAGATTAGTTGATAAAAATTATACTTTTCAAAATTCAAGTAATGAAAACGGAATGCTGGATGCGATAGTTATAAATAGTCACAAAAATGGTAGGATGTTTATCAAAGGAAATATATAATTCGTCAGAAATTAGGTAAATATAAATAATCCTTTTTTTGAAACTTAGGTATAAAATTTTTTTGTTAGTATGGTTTTCAATTTCCCGTTTTCATCTATATTCTTGCGCTATATAACAAACATTTTAGGATAGATGATATAAAGACGTTATGAAAAACATATGGAAAATGCTGCTGGACTCAACGAAGGTTCTGGTAAAATGCAATGAAAGATCTAATAAAGATATTCTCTAGAAATGTTTTTTCAACTCTGTAGCCTATCACACTTCGCGAGATCCTTATTATTTATAACATATCTCGTCCTTATTCTTTGGACCGCAAACTTCTTTCTAAATACTCTCGTCTAAATAAAGATCTGGAAAACGAAAAATCTAAAAAAAGTATTGAATCGTATCGCTCTC